AGTGTTTACAAAGAGAATAAATTAATCATTGAAGGTTAGTGAAAGTGATCAAACTTTCGAAGATTACAAGAAGCGTATACATCACCATGCATCTTGAAGACCCAAACGAGGAAGTTTACATAACTCAGACCAATATTACTGCATATTCTGAAAGAATTTTAGCATGGATCTGATTTAATCATTATAAAGTGTTTTTTAATGTAATTCATATGAATAGGAACAATGAATTGTATGTGAGGGTTTGTGGGAATTTCATGATTTTTCAGGTTGGTATTCATCATGCACTGACATCAGTTGGAGGACCATTAAAAACCTGGTAGCTCTGAACAGCTCTTTTGGCCTAGCATGGGACACCTCAGCAGTGCCCACACACGACCTCGCTAGGGATCGAACCCGCAGCCTTCAGATTTCGTGGCCCTACATTACCATTGAGCCACTAGGTCGGAATCCAATGATCTCCAGCGGGCTCATGGGTGGACACTTTTGAAGAGTCCTATACCAGGACGACTAGGACAACTTGGAATTAATCAGTCAATCAATCCCCACAAACCTCCAAATTCAATTAATCTAGTACTCATTAGTGACTAGCTTCGAGAGGTGATTGCTGAAGTTTCATGAAAAGTCATGACCAGTGGCGCGAACCTGGTTACCATGAGGATAAATGCTCAGCAATGACATTGGATTATGGTTGCGCTATGTCGTGAACTGACAGAAATTGAAAGTATAGACGACTGGATTCTGATTCAGTGGCTCAATAGTAACGTACTGACTACGGAACTTGAAGGTCTCAAGTCCAATCGCTAGCGGGATCCTGGGTGCACACTGTTGAGGAATCCTCTGTTAGGACGAAGTGGTTGTCCAGTGCTCCCATGTTTCCAATGTTCCTCTAACTGATATCAGTCCATGATGAATATCAACTTGATAAAACAGTGAATGACATCCTGTAGACAATAATGTTTTGCTGTATGAAATATCATATTGACGATCGAATATGGATTTATACAATACAATGCCCAAGTTCTACTCTTATCATCAATTGTTACTGCGAATATCGTATCAATTTGATGAAGATGGAATTATTATTAAATGTCCCTTGGGTTCCTAATGCAACATAGGGCTTCACTAGCACGTCTCCACTCAACTCCACTCTCCTCTCTGAAATCTTTTGAACCTGGCTCCACAACAGCCCACAAGCTCTCATTTCCTCCTAACACCATCTCCTCCATATCACCTTCGACACCGATGCACAACTCGTCGCTTCCCATCTCGGTTCCACTCGAGTACCTAGCCTGGCCTGATGCGTTATGTCCCCACTCTGTCTTCTCAGTGGATGCCCAATCCAATCCATCTCCACTTCCTACTACTGCATATCTGTTGAGCGATAGCTTCTCGCTTCTTTGGTTCGTTGCCAGCCAGCCAGCCAGCCACAATTCCTTGTTGCTTATTCTCACTATTCTGGCCATCTGATCTTCAGTAACGAGCCAGTGTAGGCAGTTGTTGATGAATGTCTGTAGTTTGTTGGAAATCCCCTCGGTAACGCCCCAATCCTCTCAACCATCACACAGAAGCACTGACTTGACTGAGCTGGTGTTAGAAATCCGGATTTTGTTCACACTTTATGCTGAGTGTACGAGATCTCCACACTGGTTTCTGGCTAATGAAAGCCTGTCTTGCTGTCTTTCCAATCCTGACTTTGACGTCCTCGTCCGTGCTGCCTATAGTTGAAACAGTGCTGCCTAGATAGGTGAAGGATACTACTTTTTTCAGGTTTCTCCCGTTGTTGGTGATTGGAGCTTGTTGGTGGTGGTGTTGTTGTTCGGGTATCTTCATCACCTCTGTCTACTCTACGTTCCCCTCTTCTGTTAACTTGTTACCTTTCGCCTATACATCTTCAAGTTTGTGCGACATCAGACACAAGTCATCACTGGCGAAATCCAGATCTTCTAGGTTCCTTTCTGCAGTCCAGTGTATCCCACTCTTCTCACAGCTCCCCATTGTTTGTTGCATGATCCAGTCCAGTCGACCACAATCAGGAATATCATGGGTGATAGTAGGTGGCAACCTTGTCCTACTCCTTTGAGTCTTAACTTCAAAGGCATCACTGAGCTTCCCATTGTGAATCACTTGGCATGTGGAGTCTTCATATAGTTGTTGAATGAGATTGATAAAGGTTTGCGGTGTTCCGTAGTGTTGAAGCAACTGCGAAATTACTTCTCGGTCGACGCTGTTGAATGCCGGCCTTCTCAAAGTCGATGAAGTTGAGGTAGAGAGTTGACTGGACTGCCATTCAATACTCTTTTGTATGATGATGCATAGAGTGGCGTTGCAATTTGGTCGGCACATGATTTGTACTTCCTGAAGCCAGCTAGCCAGCCAGCCAGCCAGCCAGCCTGTTCCGGTTGTCGTTTTGAATCCAGTGCATCCTTTAGTCTCTCCAGGATGATGCGGCTTAATATTTTGCTTGCTGTGGGTGGACAGGAGAGTGATGTCGTGCCAGTTCTTGCAAACAATGAGGTCTCCCTTCTTCGGGAGTTTGACAAGGTAGCCCTTCTTCCAATCTATTAGCAGGTTCCTTTCCTTCCTTCCACACCTTCTGCAATAGTGGTGTGGTGTGAGGATGTCCACTGCAGTTGTCTCTGCGTCTGCCGTCAGTGCTTCTAGCAGAATTCCATCTGGTCCTGCTGCTTTCCCACACTTCAGTGGCTTTATGGCGCTCACGACTTCGACCTCTGTTGGAGGATTTGTGTTCACTTGTAGTTCTGTGACTGGGCTGCAGGTGGTATTTCTGGACGAAGTGCAGGTGTTGGTTGATTCAAGAGCTTTTTGAAGTGGTCAGCCCATCGTTTCCTTTGTTTCTCTCCTTTCGTAATTAAAGTTCCATCATCATCTTTTATTGGTTTCATCTATGTTGATCTCTTCTCTCCTAGATAGTAACCTGGTTATTTGATACAATGTTGTCAGGTCTCTATCTCTCTTACCTGCAGCCTGTTCTGCTTCACTTGTCAATGTTTCGTAGAAGTGTCATTTGTCTTTCCGTGCAATCTTCTTTACTTCTTTATCCAGTGTAGTGTTTTATAGGTTGTATTCAGTTCCTCTTTTCGTTGTTCATCCCTGCACTGCACTGCACTGCACTGGTTCGTCTTCTGCTTCACCATCCTCCTCTCCTCTATCAGCTCCCATGTGTCCGTCCAGATCCGTTTCTTGTCTTGTTTCTTCTTCCTTCCTAACACGGTTATGCAGGTTTCCTTCCACATCTCTTTCAAAGACCTCCAGTGTTCTTTCACGTGGGTTTCCTTCGGTATGTTTCTCAATGTCTCCCATTTTGTCTTGATGGCTGAAGTGAAGATTTCCTTCATAGTTTCATCCTTCAGTTTCCGAGTGTTGTACTTGAACTGTAGTCTATCACCAGCTTCCTTGAAGGCTTTTCACTTGATTTGGAAGGTGGGTTCCTTGCACTAGATAGTGGTGTGAACCTACATCTGCTCCTTTTCTTGACCTTGTGTCAAGTAGACTGCATCTCCATTTTCTTGAGATTGAGATAAAGTCGATCTGATTTTTAGTGTGTCCATCTGGTGAAATCCATGTCGCTCGCTTTGCGGATATCCTTGTACTTGAACACACTGCCTGACTCCAAACACCAAATCGTTGAATGCACAGAGTTCTGCAAACAATTCTCCATTCTCGTTCATCACCTCACCGAGCGCTTCTCGACCCATGGTTAGTTCTCTTCCTGTGTTGTCTGCTCCCAGTTTGGCATTCATGTCACTCCACCCGTTAGAATTTCGATATCGCCGACTGAAGTCTTGTCCGGTGTCGATTGGAGTTGTCTGTAGAATTCCTCCTTTTTCTCTTGCTCTGCATTATTTGTAGGTGCATAGCGTAGCGTAGCATTGTATGATTGTGACCTTCCTTCCTTTTGAGTTGAATCTTGCTGCCATGATCCTGGAGGAGATTGGTTCCCACTGCATGAGAGAGAGCCTTCGATGCTGTTGGGGACATCATGATAGCCACTCGAAAACTCAGTGTGCTCGTGGTTGTCGTCTGGGTGACAATATCGGAGTAGATTATTGATTCTCCAGTTGACAGTTTCGAGAGTCCACTCCCATTCCATCTGCTTTCGCAAATTCCAAGCACTTCAATGTGATACTTCTTCATCTCGTTTGCCATCTGGGCTGCCTTGCTGGGTCCATACATTGTGTGGACATTCCATATCCCCACGTTTACTCTCGCCTTCATCGAGGGAGAGAAGACACATCGGCCAATTGGCTTCCCGAAAGCTTTCACCAACTGGCGTCATTTCGCCTCTCCGATTCCAGAGAGGAATAATTTTGTTATTATTTTTTATATATCGTTTGTGCTTTGAAGTTTGTTTAGCAGTGAGATTTGTTTTTCGGGTTAGGGTTGCTAGGTGTATGCCCAATCTTCCTTCTTTACCCGGACTTAGGACCGGCTAGTAACTAGTGAGAACAAACCTATAGATTTCAATTAATCAGGATCAGAATGGTATCAGTACTATTAGGTCGTTTTCAATAGAGATTCTTTTTTACATTACAATTAAGTTGGGTAAAAAAGTATTCAATTCAGATCGTTTAGTTTGTTGATACATAGAAAATTGATCATCCATTTGAAGAGAAGACAGTTAGTTACTCCAAAAGTGGTAAACACCTTTTGTTGATCGCCATATAGATATCGAAGGGACATTAGGGTATGGATACCAGGAGGTTATGTATATCGTCCACTAGTATTGTATATAATATCTAAGCTACACGCCTCACTTACTAGGTGATGGCTTATAATACTAATTGTCGAATTGCCTAGACTGAAATACGCGGGATGAGAGTTTTACCTTGAACTCTTCGATTGCAAGTGGAACGTTTAAGCCAGTTCAGGAAAACTTCTCATACAATTTCAAGACACAGTTATTAACAGATGACTAGGCTATTGTTATACGTGTTTTACTCTGTTCATTATTATTTTTCTGCTATAATCATTAATTCTAGCTAATCTTAATGAAAAACAACAGATCAAGTCTATTCTGCGTAAACCAAAATCATCTCTAACATCACCTACCTCAAAACAAAGTCCAAGTCTAGATGGTGTAACTGAAACAACCCAGTCGTTATCTTCTTCATTGTTTCAGTCAAATTCTGTACGATTTCATCCATTAGCTTTATTGTTGGATGCAGCTTTAGAAGGTGACTTAGAATTGGTGAGGAAAGCAGCTGCTGAGGTTAGTTAGTTACTTAGTTACTTAGATATTTCTGGCAATGTTTTTCGTTCAATTCAGTGTTTGTATTGTTCGATTTTAACTATGTGCAGGCAGTGAATGAATATCAAATTTTGTTACACCTGTGCATAGTTTGTGTGATGTGGAACAGTTTGATTTGAGGATAGTTTTTTTTTTAAATTGAAAGTTAACATAAGAAGAGCAGTGTAACGGATATCTATTTTGAGATAATCCAGAATATGTGTAGCTCAGAAGGATAATTTAGATGGTGTTGTGTTGTCTGAGTTGGATGGTTTAATCTTGAAGCTTTCATGATCATTTTAGACAATATCATCATCGCAAACTTCAGAAAGAAGTTAACTAGAAGCTCATGATAAACCACAGTTGAAGTTCAACACCCATAACGGAGACAAAAGGATGAAACTATAAAGGATATCTTCACATCAGCCATCAAGACAAAATGGGAGACATTGAGAAACATACCGAAAGAAACCCCCGTGAAAGAACACTGGAGGTCTTTGAAAGAGATGTGGAAGGAAACCTGCATAACCGTGTTAGGAAGGAAGAAGAAACAAGACAAGAAACGGATCTGGACGGACACATGGGAGCTGATAGAGGAGAGGAGGATGGTGAAGCAGAAGACGAACCAGTGCAGTGCAGTGCAGTGCAGGGATGAACAACGAAAAGAGGAACTGAATACAACCTATAAAACACTACACTGGACAAAGAAGTGAAGAAGAGTGCACGCAAAGACAAATGACACTTCTACGAAACACTTGCAAGTGGAACAGAACAGACTACAGGTAGGAGACACCTGACAACATTGTATCGAATAATCAGGTAACAATCTGGGAGAGAAGAGATCAACACATGCAACCAATGAAGGGTGGTGAAGGAAACTTAGATACCGCCAAAAGAGGAGAAACAAAGGAAACGATGGGCTGACCACTTCAAAAAACTCTTGAATCAACCACCACCTGCAGCCGCCGAACTACCAGCGAACACAAGCCCTCCGACAAAAGCAGAAGTCCTGAACGCCATAAAACTGCTCAAATCCTGGAAAGCAGCAGGACCAGATGGAAATCTGCCAGAAGCACTGATAACAGATACAGAGATAACAGCCGTCATGCTTACACCCCGTCTGAAGAAGGTTTGGAAGGAAGAAAAGATACCTTTCGATTGGAAGAAGGGCTACCTTATCAAAATCCCAAAGAAGGGAGACCTCAGTGTTTGCAAGAACTGGCGCGGAACCATGCTGCTGTCTACCCTATGCAAAATATTTTGCTGCATCATCCTGAAGAGACTGAAAGATACACTGGATTCAAAACTACGACCGGAACAGGCTGGCTGGCTGCCTGGCTGGCTTCAGGAAGAACAAGTCATGTACCAATCAAATTGTGACGCTACGCTACGCATCGTCATAGATCAAAGTATAGAATGCCAGTCAACTCAACTCCACCTCAACTTCATCTACTTTGAGAAGGCTTTCGATACCGTTGAGCAATAAGTAATTTAGCAGCTAATTCAACACTACGGTTTTAGTGCTACAAACCTTTATAAACCTCATTCAACAGCAGCTATATGCTACATGATGCTACTGCCTGTCAAGTGATTCACAATGGAAATCTCAGTGATGCCTTTGAAGTGAAGACAGGTGGGAGTAAGGCAAGGTTGCCACCTACTATCATGCATCATCTTACTGATTGTGGTCAACTAGACTGGACCGGACTGGAATGGATTGGATTGGATTATGCAAGAAAGTGTGAGGAACAAGAAGATGGGCATAGGTTGACTGGACCGATGAAAAGATCCCAGAAGAAGATTTGGATTTCACCAACGGTGATGATTTATGTCTGATGTCTTGTCGCACAAACTCGAAGATCTACAGGTGAAAACTAACAAGTTAGGAGAAGAGGTGAAGCAGGGCAGCGGAGACGGGACTGACTTCAGGTGAACGTAGAGAAGACAGAGGTAATGAAAATATCAAACCACCACCACCAACAACAACAAACCCCAATCACCATTGACGGGAAGTTGTCTCTTACGCCTGCCTATCTAGGCAGCACCGTTTCAACTACAGGCGACGGCGGCACAGGTGAGGATGCCAAAGTCAGGATCGGAAAGACAGTAAAACAGGCCTTCCTCCATTAATCTGAAATAATCAGTGTGGAGATCTACTCCACTCCACTCCACTCCACTCAGCATAAAACGTGAACAACATCCGGATTTTCAATACTACTTCACTGAAGTAAGTTAGTGCTTCTATGTGATGGTTGGAGAAACTTGGCATGTCACCAAAAGCATTTTCAACAAACTACAGACATTCATCACATGAACAGCTGCCGCCTACGCTCACTCGATACTGGCATTGAATATCAGATGGTCAGAATAATAAGAATAAGCAAGAAGGAAGTCTGGCTGGCTGGCTGGCTTGGCCTGGCCTGGCAACGAACCAACCAAGAACCTATTGTGCAGGAAATATGCATGAGAATTTCGGCGTCAGAGACGAGAGCGACATGGAGGAGATGGCTGGAGGAAGAAATGAAAGCTTGTGGGTAGTCGTGGGGTCAGGTTGAAGTGACTGCAGAGAAGAGAGTGAAGTGTCGACCTGCTACTGAAGTTGTATGTTCCACTAGGAACCCAATGGACAAATAATGATAATGAGGTGAAATAAATGTTTGTACCACTGCAGGATTCGAACCGAAGACCACTGGGTTTTCAGCCTGGCACTGTACTAACTGAGCTAGGAGGTCTGACTACTGACCAGATTTTTCTTTTACTTCAATCGTCAAGGCTTTTGCCCGACGATCAACGTGTGAAATCGTGACTTCATACTACCGCTTGATCGTACTGACACTGGCTGTCTATTGAGAACTTCTCATCCCAATTGAAATGTAACTGAAATAGAGGAGTGACATCATATTGATCATTGATTCATGTGAGATAGCCATGATTGGTGATTGTAGTACAATATGAATCTGATCGGTAGTCGGGTTGGAAACTTGGTGCGGTGGTCTCTGGTTCGAATCCCACCGCTGTGCAAACCATTTCAGCTTCAATTGTCACCCAGTATCGATACTGTTTCTTTTGTTTATTGATCACTTTGAAACATATGTTTGATTCGATAGGATGACTTGTATATTTCATGTCGCTGATAGGTGTCAGCCTTGTACCTCTCAATGATAATGTATTTGGCACATGTTCAGAGACTTGTAGCAGGGGTTCTCTCTCTCTTCATTCTACGATGTACACCCTATTTTAAGTATCAGTGAATAGATACCATTGGAGATAACAAGAAATATTTATCTTAAAAAATAGCCATAATAATTAGACAATGTGCTGTTTGAATTACTCAAATTAATGTCACTCGCTAGTAGTTCATTCTTCAGACTAACATTTTTTTGTAACTGTCTCTTTGTGTGTGTGTGTGTGTGTGTGTGTGTGTGTGTGTGTGTGTGTGTGTGTGTGCAGTATTTGACACAGCTTTTTTATTTATTTGATAGCTAGCAATGGAATACAGGCTGGGTATGTTTCGTCCTATTTCTAGTTCATCAACTGAATTTACTTGTACATCAATGATTGATATTGTTCCCACTCTGGAACTCGAACCCCACTACCTACACAGTTTTTCCTTGTATTCAACGTATGATACAATTTTGTTGACATCTATGAAGTTATGACCAAGTTTTGGTATATTTGATTCTCAAACCTTAACTGATGATTGCCTGAGATTTCATTTCACTGATTTAGTTTTTCCATTGCCTTGTGAAACATCTGCTTTTCGATATGATATGTTCTGATTGCTCCAACATGTAATAGCATAACTGATTGACTGACAAAATCAATGTGGAACCTCATACAGGAGTGCATCGGCTCAAGTTGCTACACTTCACAGTAGTACACAAATATCAGGTGGATAGAAAAGAAGATATAAAGTTGTGTAAGAGAATAAATAATCTCAAAACAATAGTCAGAGAGACTTCATGAACTAGTACCATGTCTTGGTCTGGCCAACTAGAACCCTCTTCCAACTTACCCCCAGTTTAGCTCTGCGCATATATATGATGTATAAATCTAAAACGGTGATTGTTGAACCCCAACCAAAGTTACATGGGTAATCCAAAAAGTTCAGAACGAAATATTGAGGTGAATTGCTGAGGCGGTATTGTAAATCGGGATGATAACCATAATAATAATAATAATAATAATAATAACGATCAGCTATGGTGCTTCCGTGAACGAAAACCATCGAATCAATTACAAAAAGGAATTAGCTAAGTAATCTATAAATGGTTCGCAATCAAAACTGGGAACCGAATAACCGAGAATAATTTATAAAGAAAATCGGAGAGAAAAAGGTGACTCATCACAATTTAAGGTAACGCATACAAAACGCATAGACAGGTAGAAGTCAATAAGAAATATGGCAAATACAAACTTGTTGAAGGAGCTATTATTCTTCTATACCGACAAAGTTCACTTCACATATGAAGGTGAACGCTTTCGACAAGTTGACGGTGTAGCTATGGATCTATGCAACCATCCATATCAACATAGGACCAGGCATTACTGAGTAACGTTCAGAGTTGCCACACCTCATATCACTACATCAAGTAAAAAGGTAGTAACGTCCAAGATGGAGAAAACAAAACTCAGTCAAAAGAAATATAAAGTACGAGAAGGAAGAAAGTAAGGATGAGAAAATGGTGAGATTCGGTATAGTGTCGTTAAGATGAGGATAATGTATGTATACATCTGCACCACTGACATTGGTTGTGAGCCATACGATCACCTAGAGTGTCCAACCACTGGTTCCTCTTGTCCCGCGGACCCCAACTACCTAGTCTGCATCGCCCCACATGGCTCAAACCAACAGTCAAACACTTCATGCACTGATGCCATGTTTTAGTCTGGCCACCTCGGGGCTTTTTCCAGCCCGAACCTATTTTGACCAACATTATGTGACGAGGCAGACAGCGACTAGGCATACGTAACACATGTCACAGCCAACCATCTCAGTCAATATAGGTTCACAAGTGTGTCAACTGATTTACCTCTTCTCCCTAAAACTCTCTGTCTGACTTGTGCGTTACTCAGGTGGTGACACCACAGAATACGGCCTATACTACGAAGGCGACCATGGTCAAACACCTGGAGCCTTCTCATGTCTTCGACAGGCTTTCACGTGAAACATTGAAATCATTTTCCTCTAAACACGCTGACATTTATGAAAATATAACCTGCAAAGTAAACTTTCCCTCATATTTGTCAATCTTTTACAGGTTAAAGATGTTTCTGAGTCAAATGATGAAGGTATTACAGCGTTACACAACGCTGTATGCGCTGGTCGTGTGGATGTTGCAGAATTCCTTGTACTTACAGCTGGAGCTGATGTGAACGCTGGAGATACAGATGGTTGGACACCATTACATTGTGCTGCATCATGTGGAAATTTACCTCTAGCTAAGTTATTGGTTGAACATGGTGCTTCATTGCATGCACGTACTTTATCTGATCAAGAAACTCCACTAGAAAAGTGTGATCAAGGTGATGAGGAAGCTGAATGTGAAGAATATTTATATTGTAAGTTGTATAACTCATCTTTTTTTCTGAAAACTTTTACAATGATAAATTGTTACCTTTCAGAGTAAATCTTCTAATATACAATTTATTTTATTGGAATAGGGAATAATGTTGGAATTATCTACTAAAGAGAGTGTATACTGTGCTGCAGTTCGTTCTGTTTTGTGTTGCTCATGCACAGTCACCGCCTACCTCACCGTGCAATGTTAGCTGAAATAGGATTGGGCTAGAAGGAGGCTAAGAGTGACCAGAGTAAGACATAGCACCAGTTTATGGAGTTTCCGATTGTCAATCTGAGGCGTGTTGTAATGAGGAGGTGAAACTGCCTGATTGAGATCATTGTGACAGTATGGATGATTGGTTTGTGACCCTTGATGAAATGGTTGAAAATTAGTAAAAATTTACTAACTCTTGGATGTTTTCCAAAGTTTAAATACTTTCATTCACCTTCATTTTTCTACCGAATGTTTTGAAATCATATCTCAACGATGCCTATATTCTTACAAACATTTATTATTATTATTTTCCCTAGGTTTCCTAGTGGAACATACAGCTTCAGTAGCACACCTCCATTCCACTCTCTTCTCTGCAGTCTTTACAACCTCGCTCCACGAAAGCCCACAACCTTTCATTTCTTCCTCACACCATCTACTCCATGTCACCCTCGTTTCGGACACCCAACTCATCCTTTCCCATTCGAGTTCCACTCGAGGGACTCGCCTGACTCATGATGTCCTCAATCCGCCTTCTCAGTGTATATCCAATCCAATCCACATCCACTTTCCTATCCTGCATATTTGTTGAACGATAGGTTCTTGATTGGTTCGTTGCTTACCAGCCAGCCAGACTTCCTTGTTGCTTATTCTTGTTATTCTGGCCATCTGATTTTCAGTATCGAGCCAGCGTAGGCAGCTGTTGATGAATGTCTGTAGTTTGTTATAAATGCCTTTTGTGACGTGCCAAGTTTCTGAACCATATAGCAGCACTGACTTAACTGAATTGGTGTTGAAAATCCGGATCTTGTTCCACATACTGAGTGCAATAGATCCCCACACTGATCTAAGACTGATGAAAGCAAACAATTAAAGTACACATGTTATACATCTCAATCCACTGCTAAGTAAGATTAGGTTGGAAGAATGTTAAGGTTAGCCAGAATATTACATATGAGTAGTGTATATAAAGATATAGATTGCCTAATTTAGTTCCTGGGGTAGGTTAGGAATCCTATGGTTGAAGACTCTTGGTGATACGCCTCAAAATCAGTTAGAATGACGCAGATCTAAACACTTTTTGTCAGTTTGAAAACTTTGAATATTTTTTTCCTTTCTCGTTTAATACATTTGTCTACTTTAATGTCATTCTGTTCCTGCTATCCACTACTTCGTTGTACGCAGCTATAAAGTGTGGGTTTTAAAAGTGAATGGTATACATTGGTCAATGTTTATGTTGTATTCACCACCTCGATGAAACTAATATTGTCTGATCGGTGTAGAATTACCGTCATTTGATTGTGATATTATTGTAGGTGGGGTTCAATTCTGATGACTTGTATCTTGATATGATTTAGATCGTTATTCAAATGATGAAATTATTTTACATTTATCACCTTGGGTGTGTATGGTAACATGAATATGTCTCATAGTGTAGTGGGCGTTGTTGATCACAATGGATATAAGTAGTATATGTTGAGAAGGCGATAGAAATCATAGACAATTATCAGCAATGGATAAAGATTCTACCCAGAGAAACTCAAGAGACTATGTTGGCGTATTTAAGAGCAAATCAAGATAGAAGCAGTATAGGAAATGAAGCACATTATGCAAATGACTATCTTAGTGGAAAGTGTGCAATATTTGATGACTACTGTACAAGATGGATCATGCAGCAAACAGTGGGGAGCGAGAAGAAGGGGATACGCTGGACCGCGCAAAAGAACCTAGAAGATCTGGATTTCGCCAGTGATGACTTGTGTCTGGTGTCACACAAACTTGAAGATGTACAGGCGAAAACTAACAAGTTGACAGAAGATGCTAGGCAGCGAAGACGCGACTTCAAGTGAATATAAAGAAGACAGAGGTGATGAAGATACCCAACCAACGCCACCACCACCAACAACAACAACAACAAGCTCCAATCACCATGAACGGGAGAAACCTAAAGGAAGTAGTCTCTTTCACCTACCTACCTACCTACCTAGGCAGCATCGTTTCAACTACAGGCGTCATAGATGAGGATGTCAAAGCAGCCAGGATTGGAAAAGCAAGACAGGCGTTGATTAACCTGAAACCAGTGTGGAGATCTTCTACACTCAGCGTGTGGAACAAGATGCGGATTTTCAACACCAATTCAGTCAAGTCAGTGCTTCTGTATGGCTCAGAGACTTGGCGCGTTACCAAGGGGATTTCCAACAAACTACAGACATTCATCAACAACTGTCTGCACTGGCTAGATACTGAAGATCAGATGGCCAGAATAACAAGAATAGGCAACAAGGAACTCTGGGAACGAACCAAGCAAGAAGCTATCGCTGAACAAATATGCAGTATCAGGAAGTGGAGATGGATTGGATATACACTGAGAAGATCGAATGGGGACATAACGCGTCGGGCTAACCTTCGAGTGCTACTGAAGCCCTATGTCCAATTAGGAACCCAAGGGACAAATAATAATAATAACTGTACAAGATGTCAATAAAGAACACAGCCTCCATCATCTCCGTCTTGTCGTTTCCTACAATAGTATCACCTCAGAACTTCACCCATATCCACCTAGCATCAAAGCTCACTAGAAGCTAAAAAAGACTGACCACTTTACAGTATTTCATACAAGATGAAGGATAATTTTGTCGATACATGATGACGCTTTAGGTGATATTCAAGATACCGTATGATGACCATGTGACTTAACAATTCGTGCAGCATGACTTAAAATCGAAGCAAATGCTAATCCCCATACTTTATATCCTATCTTCTTCATAAATGATAACATGATTTGTTAGTAAACAATACTGTTTGCTTACTGGATCTCATTATGTTTCACTCTAATATACTGGGTGGGGATTGAAGGTGAAATGAAAAGTTGAACCGCGGTGGAATTCGAACCAGCAATCACTGGGTTTCCAGCCCGGTACAATACCAACTGAACTACAAGATCCTACTTCATATCACATTTTTATTTCACTTCAATCACCAAGCATTTTGCTCGATGACTACTATGTGAATTCGCGACGCGTTACTATTGCTTGATCGTACTCATATTGACTGCCTGGTCGGGACTTCTCATCCCAGTCGAAATCTAACTCAATTGGAGAAGGGCAGCATCATATTGATTATCATTTTTGACTATCTGAGATATCCGTGGTTTGTCAGACTAGTATTGATATAGGGTGATGATTGAAGGTGAAATGAAAATTCGAACTGCGGTCGGACTCGAACCAGTGACCACCAGGGGAAAAAATCTCTAAATCCCCACAAACCCCCAAATTCAATCGATCTAGTGCTCATTGGTGACTGATTTCGATGGGTGATTCTCGAGGTTTCAGTCAGAAGTGGTGACCAGTGGGGCAAACCTGGTAACTGTGAGGACAAATAGTCAACGATAACATTGGGTGTGGCGGTCGCGGTATGTCATGAGCCGACGGAAGTTGGAAATATGGACCATTGGATTCTGCCGACCCAGTGGCTCAATGGTAACGTGCTGGTCATGACGCCTGAAGGTCACAGATTCCTTCCCTGGTGAGGTCGTGGGTGAGCACTGCTGAGGGGTTCCATACTAGGACGAGACAGCTTTCCGCTGCTCCAAGGTTTCCAATGTTCCTTCAACTGGCATCAGTCCATGATGAATACCAACTTGGAAACCCAGCTGTCGCTGGTTCGAATCCGGTTGTGAGCCAAATTTTCATCTCACCTTCAATCACTACCCAGTATAAAATACTAGTCTGCTAAACCACGGCTATCTCATTTTGTTGTTTAACTGTGTGTAAAGACAGTTGGTGAACCTTCGCCATTGTGATTATCGAGATAATTGTCATTTTTAAAGACCTTGACTGCTTTAACTAACTATTTCACTGGTAATAAATGCGATAATATTAGTTTCTAAATCAATAATAATAGTGGATAGTGGCTAATAGTGGAATCCAAGACTCGCCATCTGGATGTACCCGTCTACTAGGAGGTGATGTTGTCACTACAAGGACTCGAAGCCAGAAGTCATCGACTTTGAAAAGGTTTTCTATCGGGGCGTCGACCAAGAAGTAATTTGTCAACTGCTTCAACACTGCAGTTTTAGTGCAACTAATCTTTATCAACCTGATTCAACAGCTATATGAAGATGCCACATGCCAAGTGATTCACAATGGAAAGCTCAGTGATGCCTTTGAAGTGAAGACAGGTGGGAGTAAGACATGGTTGCCTACTATCACCCATGATCTTCCTGATTATGGTCGACGGGAAACTCTTGGAACGAACCAACCAAGAGCCTATCGCTCAACAAATACGCAGTAGAAGGAAGTGGAGATGGATTGGGCATACACTGAGAAGACCGAGTGGGGACATAACACATCGGGCCAAACCTCGAGTGAAATCCAAAGGGGAAACAATGAGTTTGGCGTCCGAGACGAGGGTGACATGGAGGAGATGATATGGCGAAGAAATGTAGGCAGTCATGGCGCCAGGTTCAAAAGATTTCAGAGAAGAGAGTGGAATAAAGACGTGCTACTGAAGCCCTATATTCCATTAGGAACCCAAGGGGAAAATAGTTATAATAATCGGTGACTATTTGAAGAACTCTCTTTCTCTCTGATATTCAATGAACTCTATGGAATAAATGCGGAAACCATTTTGTTCAAAAGTCTAAAATGTTAATAAATGATTCCATTGTATGAAATATACCCATCAGGCGTATGAAAGAAGAGTAAGTAAATATTTCAGCGAAGAGTCTCTTTTCATAAATTTCATACACTTTTCTAGTTTAAGGATTTGATAGTTAAAAACGGTTTGTTAAGTTTAACAGGCAACACAAATAGGTGTCAGTTATGCAAACTGTCATAAATAGTTTGGATAAGAAAATATTTCTTAACATGACGATATAATTGAAGACTGAATTGTGATCAAGAAGAGCATAGTAACAAGAATGATTAGCAAATTATGTAAGAAGTGAATAGTGTGAAAATAAAAAGAGGGATGGGGTGGTAGAGGAGATTTTAAAGACTGAAAACTAAGATGATGAAAGGAGGAGGAGGTTGAACAACCTCCTTTTGCGTACACAGTTCATGTTACTCCATTTTAGATGACAAGAGCTTCAGCTATACAGAGAGTATGAAGACGTATAGCCTTTTCACTTTATAGATAACTTTAAATGAGGAGGTTTTTGAGATAGAGTGATTTGTGTTCACAATATGTTCAATTATAGCACTGCTTATCTCTCCATTGTTACTTCTTTATAATTAAGCAAGATAGTGTTCTTGAACCCTTTTAGATAACAGTCGCATCGAATGATTTATATACCCTGACTGAATAAAAGCAAGTGAATTAATATATATACACAAATCCTTACAGTAGAAAAATGTATCAATTTTCAATTGTATACAATTTTGAAAATAAAAGTTAAAAAATTATTTCAAGTTGTTATTCATCGTAGACTGACATCAGTTGGAGGAACAAAGGAAACCTGGGAGCACTGGACAGCTGTTTCGTCCTAGTATGAGACTCCTCAGCAGTGCGCACCCACGACCCCACCAGCAGGGATCGTACCCGCAACCTTCAGGTTCCGCGACCAGCGCGTTACCATTGAGCCACTGGGTCAGAAACCAATGCTCCATATTTCCAATTTCTGTTAGCTCACGATATAGCGCAAACCGCCACCCAATGTCATCGTTGAGTATTTGTCCTCACGGCCATCAGGCTTTGACTCCACCGGTCACGACTTGTCATTGGAACTTCGGGAATACTTCTCGAAGCTAGTCACCAACGAGCACTAGTTCAATTAAATTTTGAGGGGGTTGTGGAGATTTGGAAATATTTCAAGTTGTTATTCATCGAAGACTGACATCAGTTGGAGGAACAAAGGAAACCTGGGAGCACTGGACAGCTGTTTCGTCCTAGTATGGGACGCTATATCGTGAGCTAACAGAAGTTCGGAATATGGAGCATTGGATTCTTACCCAGTGGCTCAATGGTAACGCGCTGGTCGCGGAACCTGAAGGTCGCGGGTTCGATCCCTGCTGGTGTGGGGTCGTGGGTGCGCACTGCTGAGGAGTCCCATAATAGGACGAAACAGCTGTCCAGTGCTCCCAGGTTTCCTTTATTCCTCCAACTGATGTCAGTCTACGATGAATAACAACTTGAAATAATTCCAAATCTCCACAACCCCCTCAAAATTTAAAAAATTATATTGAAATTATTATTATTATTATTATTTTTTTTGCTTTTACAAAAATTAATTATCAGATCAAAATGAACGTCTTGGATCTGCTGCATCAGGTCGAGTATATGCTTTATTCCCTCGTGGTATCGATTCAGCTGGACCTGGTTCTATAGATTCACATTTAGAAGTTGATGAATTACCAATTAAACCAAATGAATTATTAACTATAATTAATCGTGAACCACCTGGTGAAATTGAATGGATGTTAGCTGAAAATTCTAATGGTCAAAAAGGACTTGTACCTCGATCACATATATCATGTTATCCTTTAGTACGTATACCACTAGCAAGTTTGCCAATTATGGAGATGCCTAAAAATATCTCGATGAAATCAATAATTTGGAATGAATTTGATGATGATGAGGAGGAGGAGGAGGGGGAGGAGGAGGAGCAGAAGAAGAAGAATGACGATGGTGATAACAATAGGATGAGAGATGATGGAACTGATACGAGAGGAGATCATCACAAAGCTATAGAATATCAAGGTTTTAATGATAAACAATTATTACCTGAAAGAATATCGAAACTTCAATCCATTTCTCCCTCTGATAATCTAATTGATAACAATAATAATAATAATCATAGTTATGCACATGTTTCAGTAGACATTGAAGATATCTCCTCAGTAAAACCTCAAGTATCTTCATCATTATCATCGTCATTAGAAGCAAAACAGTATATATCTCGTCCTTCTATTGATTTTACTGGACTTAAAACAGACGATCGACAGTCATCAGATGAAGTAAGTTGATCTTTTTATAATCGCTTTTATTAGTATTACTTCTTGAATGAGTTGGAACAACTTCTGACTGTTGTTAGATACAGATTTCATTTCCATCTTATTTGGACTTTTTCTAATCAACAAACGTTTTGATATTTACGATAAATGTTACATGATCTATCATGTAGTCGACTTATGCATACTATTGTATTCATTATCTCCTAGAATAGACCACAATGAACGTTAAGAAGGCTCTAGGAGTCGGTAGATGCTTAGCATTTATTAGCGGGATGTTCTTCAAAGCTGAAATTGGTTTTACTTACTGTTTTTATAGTTTCATATGGGTGCAACAAGTGTTTATATGCAATACTAGGGAAAACCATTTTCAACACCAATGTCAAGTCGGTACTGCTATCTGGTTCCAACAAACTACAGACATTCATCAACAGCTGCCTACGCTGGCTCGACACTGGAAATCAGATGGCCAGAATAACAAGAATAAGCAAGAAGGAACTCTGACTGGCTGGTAGGCAACGAACCAACCAACAACCTATCGTTCAACAAATATGCAGGATAGGAAAGTGGATGTGGATTGGATTGGATATACACTGAGAAGGCGGATTGAGGACATCATGAGTCAGTCGAGTCCCTCGAGTGGAACTCGAATGGGAAAGGATGAGTTGGGTGTCGGAGACGAGGTTGACATGGAGTAGATGGTGTGAGGAAGAAATGAAAGGTTGTGGGCTTTCGTGGAGCGAGGTTGTAAAGACTGCAGAGAAGAGAGTGGAATGGAGGTGTGCTACTGAAGCTGTATGTTCCACTAGGAACCCAAGGGGAAAATAAAAAAATAATTATAGTACTAGGGAAAACTGATTTCCTAACACTGACTTCTTTAATATGACAGTTTCGATCACCATCAAAATACGAAACGAACGTATCATACAATGAAGCATAACGGGAGTCCAAACAGATTATCTAGAATTAAAAGAAGTCTTGAATTCACCTATATCATGATTAACTATTTGCGATGTGATACTTTTTTGGTAGAGATTTAAGTGGCAGAGGGAGGAATTCAATCAGTAGGTTGTGGTCTACGCAAAGCTGCAGAAGACTTTCCCCATCATCATACCTGCGACCTACTAATTCCCATTGACCACCAAAACTAACATCCTCTGAACCATAGGTGCAAGATAGCACTATAATATTTGTTGAATGCTCTTTTTAAAGAAGGTCATTCAGTTGAAAATAGAACTTACCCGTAAGTGTATCCGGATTGCAGTGTGCCGAAGCATAAGCGGAGGCGATGAAGAGACACTATTATCACTTCCAGTTACTTCCTACTGTAGTCTAACCTTCCAGCATAACAACACAAATAGCTGTTGATGGGAGTCCAGTCGACTAGTGAAACTTTGGTTTTAACACCGACACCAGCATGATATGCTGCTGATGCCACGAGGTCCTCGGATCAGTGCACTGTAAGTACACTTTTTTAGCTGACAAGTGAGAAAGTTATTCCAAGTACTTTAATAGAGTCTAGTTTTCGTGTTCCTGAGGTAGAGCAACCATCAACAACGAGGCTTTCTGGAATCTTAGCCGAACTTGTCTGTTGTCTGATCTGCTTCGTGGTCTGGTCATTGAAGGCAGTCAGCTTAAGTGGTTTGCGTGATGTCAGAATAATTGAGTCAGATTTCTTATTGAAGGACAGTTTCTCAGACGAAGTTGTTTAGCAACTCAAGACGATACAGACAGTGGCAGGCAGTTAAATGAAATAAAAGTATACATTTAAGTAGACTTGGAAATAATCACGAAAGGATAACACAGTCCATACAAAAGTTGAATGATTGAGTACAAATTTTATAAAATAGCAAATTTGATTGCTTTATAGCAAAATCTGATAAGCGCTTCGGGGTCTCTATTGTAAATGTTACCTGTCTGCTATGAGTGCTTGTGGTGTTTAGTGAGTTAGCAAGACAGAAGGACGTTATTGATTGAAGAGTTCACTCCCTTAACCTTTGAGTAGAACTTTGATACAGAAAGTAGTGGAGAAGTGTTAGATGATACTGCATTCACGTGTTGCCTGTGATCAAAGTAGATTCATACACTTTTCATCCATTCCGTACTGTAGAGCTCATGTACACCATAGGTTTGAAATCAAAATTTTCCATCTACCCTGGATTGAATCCTTTAAATTCAGTAATTCGGCAATAACCACCGGAAATTCACTTTCTTGAAGACATCCTACAGTGATTAAAACTTCCCTTATATAAACATTTTGGAACGATGGTCTGGTTCATTTCATCATAGGGTCACACAATATCATTTGACATCTGCTGTCAAAAGTGTTTACACAATATATGATGTCTGTTCATAAACCTATGGATTACTCTTCAAAATTCTAGTAGAATAGTCTCTTAGTAAAGGTGGTATTAAGATAAAGTTCTTAACCATTAAACTAAATGATATTCATTACTCAATGGCATGCATGATCCAATCATGTTGTTTCTTTACCTACAGAACTGAAACTAAAGGATAACTTGGTTTACATAATTAATCCCTTTTTTTGGAGTGATATATTTTAAAACTTAGAAAAGTAATAAAATTCCTCTTTGGCGGGAGCATGACCGGATCTTTGATGCAGATTCTGATGACTGTGATCGTTTTGGTTAAGTAACATACTAGAAAGCCAATATGTTATTCTTGACCATCTGCAGTGATATAGCTTCTTATTTATGTCTCTAAATCTTCTAGAACCTCTTTCTGTCAACCTATGGAATTCTTTACTGTTAGAGATGAGTGACGAAAGTCATTAGGGAACCGTGAATCTAAGTGTTTTGCTTGTTTGGCAATCATCACTACTGTCAACAGCTCTCACCTATATCACTCAGTAACAAAGTCGACCCAAATAGTCTGGTTACTGATGCGATCTCAGCTCGGATACAGAAAGCTCCTCTTGTGTCCGCCGACTTGCATCATCTGTGATGTCGACTGACGAGATATCCGACTATCTACCAAACGACAAGTATGCTGCTCTGCAGTCTATCTTGCCTTGTTATGCGACTGTGAGATCTGGCAGTTGATCATAGGTGTTTTCGTAGCATTGCTTACGTTTGATGGAATCACCCTGTGAGCAATTTTGGGGTCAGATGAAGGTCACTAAGGAAGATGGGCAAGTTGATTGATGAGGTTGTGAAACTTAGTCGATTGACATGGCTTAGATATGTACTGCGCATGCCAAGTCACCACCTACCTCGATATATCTTGTTACTAGGGGAATTTGGACCAGGTTGGAAGAGTGCTGAGGAAGGCTGAACCAAGACGTGATACCAGTTGATGAAATCTCTAACTGATGGTCTGAGCCATATGAAGAGGTGTAGACTATCTGGTTGTGGTCCTCGAAACGGAAGGAATCAGTGATTGATGACTCTTAGTTAAATCGCTGAAAATCAGTCACAATATCACAGATATATTCAGTCGTTGACATCTTAAGCTTGAATATTCACACTAACCTTTATCTTCAAACTGTTAATTCTCTTACAAAACTTTATCTACTTTGATATCACTCCTATTCTATCCACCTGTTCTTCGTATACTATTGTGAAGTCTGGCAACTTGGATTGATGCACTTGTGTGGGAAGTTATAGGTTGAGTTTGTCAGTCAGTCAGAGGAGAAATATGGCAAGACGCGCACCTATATATATATATATATATATATATATATATATATATATATATACTGGGTGATTATTGAAGGTCAGATGAAAATTTGGATCGCGGCGGGACTCGAACCAGGGACCACAGGGTTTCTGGTATAAATACTAGTCTGCCAAACCACAGATATCTCAGATAGTCAGAAATGATAATCAATATGATGCTCCTCCTCTCTAATTCAGTTAGATTTCAATTGAGATGAGAAATCTTGACTAGGCAGCCAGTATGAGTACGATCAAGCGGTGGTAACGCGTCACGAATTCACATGGTAGTCTGCCAATAAACGTTAGTGATTGAAGTGAAATAGAAATCTGATCAGTAATTGGAGCTCGTAGCTCAGTTGATAGAGCATTGGGCCGGAAACCTGGTATATATATATATTGCTTGTTAAATAGAAACAATTTATAATTTTATTCCGATCAAATAAATCTTTAACTTTTACAGATCCAAATTTAAACTTCTCTCACCTATAAATACAACAAAATCGAAGTAAAAAGAAAGAGACGTAAGAAAAAGCGTTAATTTGTGTTTGCGTGTGTGTACTGTGGTTTCCCTCTGTTTTGTCTGTGTTCATGTGTTTGCGTGTTTATTGAGTGAGACTAAAAGTTATCCCTTGGGTGTTATAGCATTCTGTTTGAATATATGTATTTTATATATTCTATATGCATATATTCTGTAGTGAAAACTGTGATCATAAATTCTTTCGGATGTAATTTTCAGCCTCATTATGTTCTATGAGTATTATTCATCGTGAATAACTGTACTTACTTTTCACCTCAGAATTGGAAGTTTACCTAACACCTTTTCATATGAATAAACCATTTAGAAACACAATTCTATGATAGATGGAATTTTAAAAACTATGCAAGTAGGTAAAATATAGAACACAGAAAACGTTCGTAATTTTACAAACAATCCTACAACCTTTATCGAGTATGATAATTATTTTTTTTTAATTATTAGTCCCTTGGGTTCCTAGTGGAACATAGGGCTTCAGTGGCACGTCTCCAGTGACCTCTGTCCTCTGAGATCTTTTGAACCTGGTTCTACGACAGCCCACAAGCTCTCATTTCCTCCTCGCACGATCTTCTCCATGTCACCCTCGGCACCGACGTCCAACTCGTCGCTTCCCATGGGGATTCCACTCGAGGGACTGGCTGGCCTGACGCGTGATGTCCCCAGTCGGCCTTCTCAGTGTATGGCCAATCCATCTCCACTTCCTCCTGCATATTTTTGGCGTGATAGGTTCTTGGTTGGTTCGTTCCCAGAGCTCCTTGTTGCTTATTCTTTCTGGCCATCTGATCTTCAGTACT